ACTTCGACATATTCTAGCCCTGTTTTAAATTAAATCATCTATTTTCTAATCTCCTCTATAGATTGCTAAACGATTTCTGAGGCTTTATTACTACTATAAATAACCTAAAATGATGAATTATCATCAGCGGCATCAAAAAAACATCGAAATAATTTTAACTTCAAACTCTTATAACTGAATGATTTCTTTAAATACTGTCTAAGTTTTTTCAATTTTAATATAAAAGTTAATTTTCACTACATTTTGGGAATGAAAATGAATTTAAACAAAATTGTATTTTTCATATAATAAATCATTTTAAGTTTTAAATTAAACTTTCATAATCAAAAATTTATTATAATTCAGCATGATACTTGTTGTAATTAAGTAATTAGCCTACTCATATTAAATAATAAGCCATCCAAAAATCTTCATAGAATTATTTTCCTATTAATATCTAGAAAAAGGTCAAATAGATTAGAAACATTAATACGAAGAAAATAATTTTTCAGTCTAAAGAATAGAATGTTGTTTTACAGTGATTTTCAATTTAAAAACATAAAGTTTTCTTAATCAAATATTTCTTTTACAAATTACTTTCAATTATATTTAATGAAAAGTTATTTTTAATTTATAAATATCCAATGGGAATCATTTGCTCCAATAGCTAAAACATAAAATAACAAATAAAAAAAAATTTTAGGTAAACCATTTCTATGATGATTAAAGTCATCATTAATATTAGGATATTGATGAAGTTTTTGTAAATACCCTAAAAGAAATTGAGTACCCAAGAAGAGATTAGTGCTATTGTTAATGGGTGAAGACTAAATTTTTAGTCGCTTAGACAAAAACAAAGTAGTTGTTATACCTAAAAGATGGATAAATCATTCGGATGTAAATAAAAGATTGAAAAAATAGAGATTAAATTTATGGTTGTTCAAGCACTATAGAAATCTTAAAGAATTTAGATTAAATAAGAAATTTAGAATGGATTGGAAAATATGGTAAAGATAACAAAAAAGTTGGCATGTGGACAGCTTTTTGGAATGGAGAAAAACAATATGGAGTAGGTGGATTTTACTTAGACGATGGATCAAAGCAGGGTCTTTGGAAAGAATTAAGACATAATTATTCTAAGTAAAATTTAATAATAAAATATAAGCTATGCTCCAATTTATGAAATTGGAGAATATGTCAATAATTAAAAAAGGGGAATATGGAAATTTATTTTAAAAAATAATATCATGTATTAATTTTTGATAATTTTTAGTGGTGGTGGAAAGTATAATGATTAAGGAAAAAAGAATGGTAAATGGATTGAATTGAGTAATTATTTCTTAAGGTATTTATTATAAACATATTTTAATGTCAGTAAATGTTAAGTCAGTTATGTAGGGGAATATAAAGATGGTAGGAAAGTTGGTATATGGTTTATAAATTTGCATAGGAGAAGAAATAATTAATTAATGTAAGATTATTATTAGATTAGCATATTTAATTAATGGAATTAATTAGAGGAGGAGGATTATATATAGAAAAAAAAGAGGAGGATGGTTTCATTAAAAAGGGAAAATGGGTTGAAGAATTAGAGGGATATGAAGAGTATCTATATATAATTGAAAGATATATTTCTAGGCCTAGCCATATTACTTTTTAGGGTGAATACTATAATGGAATAAAAGTTGGTATTTGGGATACAAAAAATTTACATTCTTGTAATCTAAAGCTGTAATTTTTATTAATAATATTGATCAATAAATTAGAGGTGGAGGATTATATGAAAGCCAGCTCAATGTTGATGGTTTACTCACTTCAGTCAAAGTAGGAAAATGGATTGATTTGTGCGATTGCTTTCATTAGTATTTTATCTATATTATATATTAAAAAGTTATCGATTTATCACATATGAAGGCGAATATCAAAATGGTAAAAAAATTGGTAGTTGGGATATTAAATGGGAATAAAATAAGATGTAATAATAATATTTGAAATTAAAATAGAGGTGGTGGATTTTATGATGATAACAGTGGTGATGATTTTATTGAGGATTCAATTAAAATTGGAAATTGGATTGAACAATCAGATACATTTAATCAGTATTAATTATTTTTGATTATTTAGTACTAGCTAAATTACGTATGTTGGAGAATATTAAAATGGTAAAAAACATGGAAAATGGGATACATATTTCAGGCATAATTCGAAATAGATAATGTAATTTTATTTCCTTTTTTTATAGTGGTGGGGGATAGTATGAAGTAAAACAAAAAGATGGTATTTTTTATTCATCGAAAATTGGATTTTGGACTGAAATATTTGAATTTTTTAATCCGTATTTTTCTTGATTACAAAATTATTAGAGGAAGATCACTTTCTTATTCTGGTGAATATGAGAATGGTCTTAAAGTTGGTAGATGGAATACATTTTATGTGACGATATTCTGGGATAAAGTTCGATTTATGTAAGTGAATTTATTTTTTATTCCAAAAAGTGGAGGTGGATACTATTCTATATTGGAAGAATAAGAAATTTTGGGTTCATTGAAGACTGGTAAATGGATTGAAGTTGAAACTGAATATTTTAACAATTATTTTATCATTTCTACTGGAGAATATAATTATGGTAAGAAAGTTGGTAGATGGGATATTTGGTTTTAAGAAGAAAACGAAAGTATGATAATGTAATTAATCATATTATATACATGAGTATTTCAGTGGTGGTGGAACATATAATGAAGCAGGAGTTAAGGTAGGTAAGTGGGTTGATTTGAATGCCAAATTTTGGGATGCTAAATAATTAACCTATAGTGGTGAATATAAAAATGGTAAAAAAGTAGGGCAATGGGATATTGAGTATAGGTAAGATAAAGATAAACCATTATTTAAAATGTAAAAATTAACATATTTAGGAGGTTAAGTGGTGGTGGATCATATAATGAGAAAGGTGATGGAGTTAAAATTGGGTAATGGATTGAGTTAAAAGGAAAATCAAAGAATGTCACTAATAATGGGGAATATTAAAAGGTAAAAAAGTTGGTACATGGCTTGTACTGAAAAGAGATGAGAATAAAATGGAAGGGGGATTCTAAATAGTCAAAGAAATCAAATATGATTATTGAAATAATAAAATTATAATAATATTTATTTTAAGGCTTTGATTAGGTAAGGATAATTCTCAATATATATTAATTTTTTAATTTTAGAGAAATTATTCATAAGATATTTATTTCTATCCTTTTGAGCATAATAAAATTAGTTTTATTGATTAAAAATATTTTAATTTTAGCATTTTGAATAGTTAATATGAATGTTTTAATTTAACTTAAATATTTGATAATTTCAAATATTGAAGAATTTTTGTCAAAATATCTTTTCGAAAATACGATTATTTGTAGGTTATTTCCCTTATATAAGAATTTAATCAAGAGCTCTTTATATCATAGAGCTTCTATTTAAATCACAGAAGCAATTCTATTCAAATTAAAGTAGAGTTCTTGAACCAAAGATAAAATTTTATCCTTATTTAAAAAATTGATACTACTAATATTTATATATTCAAATTTACAACCATATTAGTATAAGATGATAAGATCAGAAGTAATCAAATTTTGAAAATTTGATGTTTAAAGTTTTTATCTTTTTTCTTAAATTTAATTAATTTTTAATAAATATCATTTTTAGAATCCATCTTTATAATTTACAAGTAATTAACTATTTAAAAAAGAGAAATTAATTATATTTTATATTTTTATGGTTATTTAACATTGCCTTTAAGAT